ACTGTAGAACCTACGCATTCATGGAAGGTACTATAACAATTCCCATATGCTAGCTTTGTTCGCCTTTTCTACTTCCTTCACAACTCAAAACATGTGACAAACGTTCATTTTATGTTTCATTTCTCAATTTCTGATGACAAGAAGAAGAAAGAACTGCAAGTATGCTTATAATGATTTTAAAGCTTTACTTATTTCAATAGCTAACTTCGAGTGGTAGAGGTATTCTCTTGTAGGTTTAGGGTTCAGTCAGTTGAACTTCAGACAGGCCAATGTGGGGGCAAGTTGACACCTAGAGGGAGTAATCATCAATTTGTGTAACAAACTAAGCTAAGCTTTTACACGAGATAATAATTTAATATGGTATCATAGCTAAGTAATTAACTAAACTACATCAAATCAAAATAAAGTTTTATATCCCAATCTTTTGAGATCGGCTATATAAGTCCGTTTTCGTTATTTATTTCGATCATACGCTATACTCTTATTTGAGTTAAGTATTTTCATATTTATTATTATTATTTAATTCAATTTTAATTTAGATCTATCCTTACTTCTCGTATCAATAAGATAAATTTTATCCTTTTTTTTAACCGGTGCCTCTATCGACCTATGTTAAACATGATCAAACCATCTTTATCTATTATCTCTTAATTTATTCTCAATTAGAGCAACTCTTACTATTTCTATAAAACGACTATTTTATATTCTATCCTTTCTAGTTTTTCCATTCATTATCCTTAACATTCTCATTTTCATTGCAATCATTTTATCCCTAACTAATTGTTTTGCAATAAATGAAGAAGTGGAATCAGAGTAGAGTAGAAGATCTGGTGTTCAAATTTTACCCTCACCTTGATAATTCAAAAAAAAAAAAAATTATATGTGAGGTTCTGAATCTAACCTGCACATCAAAAAATTGGTTATTGAAATATGAATATTTAAGTTATACCCTCTTTTAACAATTTAAAACTTTTAGATGAAATGGTGATTTTGCAGTCTATTATTAGTTATTGTTGTTTGCTCTATCAAGAACTCCGTAGTTCTGGTATCATTGCGACCGTTAGTAGACTGTACGTAGTTGTTTCATCCTAGGTAGTTAACTGTCGAAACCTGTCAAAACTTTTGTTAAAGGAAAGTAATTAGCATATCTTTATATTTTTTTTATTTTTTTTAGTAATTTGCATATCTCATTTGAAGAATCTTTGCCTTTCTGTTTTTGTGTGGTTGTGTTTTCCCTTATTCTTGTGTCTGAACTAGTTGAATTTTCTAATTTGGTGAATCATACTTTGTCTCTCGAAAGATCTTAAGCTTTTATTGTGCACTCTTATGCTCCGTTTGGTAAAGAGGATGAAAAGTAAGAGTGATACACTTTCCTTCATTTGTATTTGGTTGGATGGATAAAAAATAAAAATGACTATTTTTTTTTTTTTGTGCTGACTAAGATTAAAGGTGACAATAAAGTCGAGTTATGTCGTGTTAGATTCGTATTGAATCATTACAAGTTTGTGTCGAATATTAGTCAAATCTAACTTAACTCATTTAACTAATTGTGTAGTGTTGAGTTGCGAGTTGACCTATTTATTTTCGTATCGAGTTCGAGTCATGTCATCGTGTTGAGTCAAAAATTTTCACCTTTAGTTAAGATGGAAAAAATATTTTTTTTTAACTTAAAATTTTTATTTTTTTATTTTTTAAAATTAATTTTAAAAATTTTTAAAATATATATACATATTTTACCACTGTATTTTTATATAAAATTAATGTATATATAAGATATATAGACAAATAAGATACATTTAAACACAAATAATTAATTTTTCATCCACTTTCCTTCCGATTTTGGAGGGATTGATTTTAGTGAGTTGGAAAAAAAGTTAATTCATCCACTTTTCTATCTTTTCTACTTTCTTTTCTTACTAAACATGATGTTTTATTTATCCCTCCAACTTTTCATCCTTCCAATTTTTTATCCTCCCACTTTTTAATCGTACCAAACAGAATATTAGATTACAAGTCACACATTGGACCTCCCCTTGAATTTCTTTGAATTCTAACAACGTGTCTCTTTTCCCTCATATTTTTACAAATTTAAGCCCCAAATTAGGTCAAGATTGGGTGCATTTTTAATATTTACATAACTTTAGGGTAAGGATGGTAAATGAGTAGGTTGGGTTGGTTATGGGTTGGGTTAAATTGGATTGGACTAAAATAAATTAAATTTATTTTTCACTCACCTAGTAAATGGGTTATAATGGGTTGGGTTTATAACGGGTTGGATTAAACTGATTAACCCATAAAATAATTAAAATTTTTAATAGACACATTAATACACCAAAATACACACACACACATTAATAATAAACCAAAATACAAACATACACAAACACACTAGTACACCAAAACACACACAAACTAATACATTAAAAATATACACACTAATACACTAAAATACACACTAATATACCAAAAATACACACACATATACTAACACAAAAACTAAAATATATTTAATAAAAAAAATGCACACATAATAGGTCGGGATCAATTATGGGCTATGGGTTAGTATGTAAGTCATGGGTCGTGGGTCATGGATTGATATGTGGGTCACGAATTAATCCATGGGTCATGGGTCAATCCATGGATTGTGGGTCGCAGGTCAATTCGTGGGTCATGGGTCGGGCTCGTGGATCATGGGTGGTGTATTAGTGTGTGTTTTTAGTGTACTAGTGTGTGTATGTTTTGGTGTATTAGTGTATATGTGTGTATTTTGATATACTAGTGAGTGTATTTTTTGTTATATTAGTATATTTATTTAATTTTATTACTTGTATTATTCAATAAAAAAATAAATACTCAACTCAATTGGTACTCATTTGTAATTCATATTAATCTGCTTAACTAGAATCAATCATATTACTCAACTCATTTATAAGTTATATTAATTAATATAAGTATCTAACCCATTTATTTATGGACGGATTTAACAGATTAATGGATAATGAGTTAAAATTGTCACATCTACTGTGGTGTAACTTGAGATTTTTAAATGGAGCAGAGTTTCATTAATGGTCATAGTTGGAAATGCATAATGAAAACTGTGATTATTATGGGGACAATATGAACTTAATAACTATTTTTAAGGATGTATTACGAAAGTACGTGATAATTAGAGGGATAAGGCAAGCAATGACAATGTTGAAATGTCAAAATACAAATTTTTCTCTAACAAAAAATGATGATGCGTTTTGTGCGGTTGAGTAGAGGCGAATGGTTTTGAGGATTTTGCCAAGGACGATGATGAGTTTTCCTGAGCTCTTGGGGTTTTAACAATCAATTCTGGAATTAAATAAATACGAACAAAGATCAGTAAACTAAGGATTTATAGTGGTTCACCAACTAAAAAATTTAACTGATCCACTCTAATAGAGTCTCTTACTCCCATAAAATACTTTGGAGAAAAGGGTTACAGAATTACTTAGTGTCAATGACACAAATGCTTTGATTGATTCCAATGAGAGAGATTTGACCCATATTTATAATGTATAGTTGACTTACTTGGTCTCTACGATCTTTTCGTAACCAATGCAACCCTTACATAATCAACGTGATCCCCTTGAGACCTTTACGATACATGTACCGGAATATTTGGCTGTTTGGGATTATATTTTTTTAGGCGTGATTATATTTTTTAGGCGTAACGTGACCTTCTAAAAAACGTGTACTGTCGTTGTCACTGTGTTCGCGAAGGACACGCCGGTGATGATTCCCGACCTACGCTTCCCAAGCTAATAATCATGAGCTGAGACGTTGGAGTTGAGACATTAGAACTAAGGGGTCGAGCTTAGCCTTTCCTAATTTTTGGTATCATCAAAATCAAATGTTTTTTTCTTATGGGATACACTTCGAGAAACTACTTGATGTATTTTTTTCTTTTTTTCACTGTTCGATTTCTGCCAATTCATTGTGTTTCCTACAAACATTGATCCCGACAAGTTTCCTAATTCGTAAAATTTGTATGTTGTCTCACCATGTGTCCAACAATTATTGGTGACAAATCAAATCGCTTCGACTGAAAGGGGTCATCAAGTGAGCGATCGTGTTAATTCATCGCTAAAAAAACTTACAATTCAACGAGATTAAGTTATGATCAACAAGGTCCGTAATTTGGGATCAATTTACAAAAACTTGGGATCAGTCCTAGTTGGGGTCAATCCCAGCTTTTCTAGATTTTAAGTACCAAGTTACTTGACAGTGTCATAACGTTTAGTAGGTAAAAAATCACCAAAATAAAGATCGATAACGTTATTTGAACTAAATTAATATAATTTGTTGATATAATCTATCACAACCATTACATTGGTTGCAAGTTCTAAAAAGTATTGATGCCCAGCAACTTATCGCGAGCTAAAACGTTCTATAAGCCGAGCAGCTTATCTCTAGGACAAGTTGAAAAGCTTCGAATTTTCATAAGTTAAAAGCAACTTATAGAGCACTCTTTAAGCTGAGCAGTTTATCCTAGGAAAAGTTGAAAAGCTTCGAATTATTAGGTCAACAAATTAAGTTACTGAATTAAATCCAAGTAGCATTTCTTAATATTAATACTAATACTTGGATCTGATTTGCTGACCAAATTTATCACAATCATTGGATTGGATGCGAGTTCCATCAAGATACCAATGAATAAAAGAGTTACTTAAAAAAAACCATAAAATAAGGGCAACAATTTCTTGTATTTAGTACAACCACAAAGAAAGTTATTCTATTCGTCCAAAAACACCATCTGTAATGCAAAACTACTGTCTGGCCATGAAATGAAAAAGTTGCCAACTAAAAACAACACTGAACTCACTTAAAAGTTAAAAGGAAACCAAGCATTGTACCCTTAAAATTCCTCTATGTATATGTATGTATGCTGGGAAAACAGACAGATGGATTCAACTTAGGTACTATGGAAAGAGAGATCATGTGCTTGAAAACTACTTGAAATATGCTTAAAAGCACTAAGCCTTGCGACCATATGACAGAACCATCACAAAATCCTTGGCTGAGCTGCCCACATATGCCCTCATTCTTTCTGATGTCGATGCTGTCTGTGACCACACCTCTATCAATTTATTCAGCTGCAAGGTGGGAACGAGTGGCTGACCTCGCAGAGTAATCTCCACCTTCAAGAAATAAAAATATATAACTAGCAAAATTCAACATTACATGCCCCAAAAGTTGTTTGATTGCATAGAGAGAATAGGTAAAATATTGCCCACAACTATGGATGAAACTATAGGCACTATACATTGTGATGGTTTTTCATGTGAAAAACTACATTTCATTCAGCTTATATCAAGTCATAAGGGTCACTACTATACAATAACAAGCATAAAATTGCATGTTCGAATTGAAAGATAGTCGCTCTGTACAAATTCACCGGTGTTTTGAAGGTATCGCTTATGCATGTATGAAGTTGCAATTTACTTGTACACATTGGTATTTAAGCCCCAATATCAAATTGTATCTCTACCATGTGTTACGCAGTTAGGGCATATATTCGCAATGAGAGAGTATTGAAGTTACCTCATCTTCCGTATCAAGCTCCAGTTTTCGCACAAGGTACTTTTTGATAAACGAAACTGGTAGATGAACATCCCTGACGACAACATATATACGAGAACTTGTTAAAGAAATTGCAAGAAGGCCTCTGGTTACGTCAAAATATGATAATAAAGCAGTTCTTTGCTAATCTCATCGTGTAGCATTACAGTCCTCAATATATGGGGAAGTATATACACCACGAAAGCAGGACCAAATATATCACATCCAAGCTTTTATATTTCAGAAGATTAAGATACAAACCATTTGTAATCAAAGTACTTGGGAATTTTTTTTTTAAGTTTGTACATGATTCATTAGTGCATAAGATTGATCATCTCTTCCTTACCACGTGACACACAAAAGACGCAACCAAAACATATGGTTTTGTACAAACGGGAACATAAAATATTTCGATGAAAACAGAGTATAACTTGCATCTTTTAGCTCGTTTTCAGAACTCAAGGAAGATGAAGCCTAGGGCGCTAGATACAGCCATAAGCCTAGATCTTTCAGAGATGGCACACTTCAAGGCTCTTTCCTTTATTTTTTATGGCGTTAACGCACTTTTACAAAAGATGAACTAGGATTACGTTGGGTTGCTAAGATGATGCAATAATATCCAAAGTTTTGGAAGTTAAGATAACAGAATTATAGTGGTTCACCAGCTTAGGAGTTGGGCTAGTCCACTCTGGAATTGAGGCTCTTGCTCCTTTTGTTTTATTCACGGTGATTACAAGTTTGCTATGGCTTCTTTTTGCCACTAGGATTCCCCCCTCTATTAGGGGGTATTACCTTGCATTTATAAGGCCCTTCCCTACTAAGAAGGATCTTAGCCGATATTCTTACTCTTATTTCGTGGGCTTTTCCTTAATTTTAGGAGAAGATCTTGGTTGGTTGAGATTGGGTGCCTTTATTACAGCTTCCTAACGCTTTAAGATCTTCTCGTGGTTATCCAGCTGTTATCTTGCCTTAAGAGACACTCAGCCCTTACCCTTTGACCTCTACTAATGTGCTTGACCTCCTAGTCCGAGCTGACCTCCTGAGCTTAGCACTTGAAATTTATTTTAGGTATCATCAGTTGCCCCCCAGCTCTTGGTTCAAGTGAGCTCGGGCATGGGTTGAGCTGCTTTCGCATTAGACCAGGCCTGCACCTAGCTGACCTTAGTTCGCATGTGAGATGCATGTGGGGGGCCTCTTTGACGGTTTACAGCAATCATAGCTTCCTCGATTCTCGTGCATGTTTCAGTCCACGTCACTCAAGCTTTAAATGCTCAAACGGCTACCCAAAAACCGCTCAAAATTTTATGTTCATCTTCTACGATGTTCACCTTTGCCTTTGCAATTTATGGGCTTTCCTAGACGTGATTCACTCATTCTCTGCTCAAGACTGTGTTTTTCAGGTTCGCCTCGAAGTCTTGCTTTGCTTTTTCTCTCCAATTTCTCCTCGATTGCTGTTCGTTGCTCTTTTCCTTGTCTAGGTACGCCCTTTC